CCGACTCATCGACCACGTCCAAATGGCTACAGATTTCCTTGCTACAACAGGTCCCATCCGCAGAGATCGTGATCCTTGGCGATTTTAACGCCCACCATGCCGAATGGCTCGGTTCACGTCTAACCGATCATGCGGGGAGATCTGTTTATGACTTTGCCTTGGCATATGGTCTGACACAACTGGTTACTTCGCCTACGCGGATTCCAGATGTGGAGGATCATACACCTTCCCTGTTGGACCTTCTGCTGACCTCTCATCCGGACGGATATCTGGTTTCCGTCGATGCCCCTCTCGGCTCTTCGGACCATTGTCTGGATCCGGAGTGTGGTGCCACTCACGCTCCCTTCGCGGTTGCGTTCTGCAGGTTGCCGCCGTGTTTGGCATTACAGGTCGGCGGATTGGGACGGAATGCGGTCCTTCTTTGCATCCTACCCATGGGGGCGGGTTTTGCTTCTCGCCGGATGATCCCAGCGCTGTTGCTGACTCTGTCACTGATGTGGTGCTACAGGGAATGGAACTATTTATTCCATCATCTGTGGTACCCATCGGAGGCAGATCTCAGCCTTGGTTTGGTCGCTCCTGTAAGACTGCATTACGCAGTAAGCACGAGTGTTATCAAGCCTGGGCTGCGGCTTCGGCGACTCGGGATGTAAATACCAGCATACTTAAAAAGAAGTATAACTTCGCCTCCAGGTCCTTCAAAAGAGTTATTGCCAAGGCAAAGTCAGAGCACATAGGCAGAATTGGCGAGAAACTAGTTCGCCTTCCTTCGGGAACCCGTGCATTCTGGTCTCTCGCCAAGGCTGTCCAAGGGAACTTCTGTCAGCCATCTTTTTCTTCTCTGCACAGAGAGGACGACTCACTGGCCCATGACGCAAAAGACAAAGCCGACCTTTTAGGCTCCCTTTTTGCGTCCAACTCGACTCTTGATGACGGGGGGAAAACACCGCCGACCATCCCGCGGTGTGAGTGCTCCATGCCGGATGTGCTGTTCTCACAGCGCTCGGTTCGCAAAGCACTGCTCTCCCTGGACATCCAGAAGTCGAGTGGGCCTGACGGAATCCCCCCAATTGTGCTGAGGACGTGTGCTCCGGAGTTGACACCGGTCCTAACGCGTCTTTTCCGGTACTCCTACTCCCAAGGCGTAGTCCCGAATTCATGGAAGACAGCTTTTGTCCACCCGATCCCTAAAAAAGGCGACCGCTAAGACCCATCCAACTATAGGCCTATCGCGATCACCTCCTTGTTCTCCAAAATAATGGAATCCATTATTAACTGCCAGCTCATCCGGTACCTTGAGCATCACCAGCTGATTAGTGACCGCCAATACGGTTTTCGTCGGGGTCGATCAGCTGGTGATCTTCTGGTCTACCTGACCCATAGATGGGCGGAGGCAGTAGAGTCCAAGGGGGAGGCGTTGGCCGTTAGTCTGGACATTGCGAAGGCCTTCGATCGGGTTTGGCACAAAGCGCTTCTTTCGAAGCTCCCTTCCTATGGGCTTCCCGAGAAATTGTGCAATTGGATCACCAGCTTCCTTGTAGATCGGAGCATCAAGGTCGTTGTAGACGGTGCATGCTCTGACTACAAGCCTATTAACGCTGGTGTTCCACAAAGCTGTGTGCTATCACCAACGCTGTTTCTTCTGCATATTGTAACGAACCCCCCCCCCCATCTTTTTTCTTTTCTACTATATATCCACTTATACTTGTATTTCTTTAGAATCTATATCTGTAAGATATATAAATATATCTAATTTACGTGTCCAGTATAACTTGATCTTTCTAAAGGTTTAAATATAGGCCGTTTAATAAATTTATGGCGTGATCGTCTTAGTTAGGACCCTTTTTTCCGTTGTGTTTGTATAGTAACTTAGTTCTTTTAGGTGTATCTTGGAAGAATGAATATTCTCGAGAGCAATCGAAAGCTGTTGGTAGAGTCTTATAAGCTAAAGAACCCCGTTCACGAAGACAGAGCTCAAAAAGGTTAAGAACAATAAATTGTCCCTATTCCACTTGTATCTGGTTCACAACAGTCAATTCCTTATTAATTAATCCCTTCCCGCTTGGAAAGTGCTCACAATATTTATATCAAATACCAGTTACAAGGGCTTCGCTCTCCCACATTTAAAAAAAATGTGGAGGAGGTACACGGCCCCACACACGCCGCGCACGGTGAGCGCCAACCATTTTAATGCGCTCCCCCCGAAGGGTACGCAAACTTTGGAACTGGACCGTAGTCCACAGCAAAATAACTGGCGAACCAGTAAAAGAGGACTTGGCCCCTTGATAGTGCGTAAGCACAAACATCGACCGAAGTCGCGCATGTCAATGCGTGTAAACGCCATACAGAATACGATCAAATCCAGCCACAGTGAAATGTACGTCACACGGGTTAGGCAACAATCGGCACACTGACCATAAAAAGCCCTCCGTGAGCGCCACCACCTGCCAGACTTGCCGCTTCTGCAGACGTGATGTAAGTGTAAGGCATCACCACCAATTGCATGGTCAGCACGGCCAATTGGCCGCAGAGCGTGTCATGAGTCTACCCGCTCACCTCAAGGGAATGGGGTCCCACGTTGCGCGGATTTCGGCCGCAGCCTTGAGAGCCTCCTCAGATTCTCCCTCCAGCTACCACCCGCATGAGGTCAACACATATGCTCCACCAACCAATACAATGGCAGATATAGCCAATAGGCAGTTATAAGATAATATTAATAATTCGCCATCAGAAAGGGTTTGTGTCACTGACGTTGAGTATATGCATTTTTCGATCATGTTTGTCTCACCCACCAACAAGTTGCCTTCAATCTCTCAAAGGTGGGAACTTTATAGAGATATATTATTAAGTTGTTATATAAAACATCATGGAGGGCAGACAGTCTGCAGCCCCGCAATGAAGGGACCCGACTTGGGCAAAGCTACTTAGGTTGTGAGTCAAACCAAGATGCAGAGAGCGCCATTGAGAATAGCGACCCGCCAAACAACCATCGTAGAGACGCAATGCTACAGAATGCAACAAGCATTAATACGACTATCGTCGGGCTTACACCATTTCAAGGTCCCCCATATAGTCCCAGCAGACATCACCACCCGCATACCTCCATCGACCAGAACCACAAGATGCATCGAATCAGGTGCAGCACACCCGCAGATCCATCACAAGACACAATACTGCAAGTAGCAGTAAGCATCAATGCAACTATCATACGGATGGCGCCCCCTCACAACACACCCACATGATCTCCCTATCGACTTTGGTAACAAAATTTGATAATGTTGTTAACTGAAAATACCACCAACGTATCATAGTAGTACGGTACTAAGACGTCAGTAGCCAAAACTCCACGTATCATAGCGCTATTGCACTAAGACATGAAGTTGAGTATGCTTGCTGCACTTAAAAGTACTACCAAACACACTCACCCTAATCCGAAATATAGCCGACGTATCATAACGCTATGCGCTAAGACGCCGCCCACAACCGGTAGGGGTGTGCAATGTCCACGGGCAAGTCGTATTGCTACAACAAACCCGCTTACCACCGGCACTAAGATGATATGTCTAGGACACATCGATTAGTGAGTCCAAGTTTACCTCGGTCTCAGAGGCTGCGAAGCAACCTACACGCCACTATAATAATCCTTTTTAAGTCCCATTTCTTTCAATATAATGCTTTTACATATTTGAGACCTTCCACATATTTGCTTTATTTCATAGACCATACTACTGTATGTCTTATTCATATGGGACTTCAAGTCATAACTCTGCTATCATAATGCTTATGCATCATAGAGACCTTCTATATTAATGCTTTGGTTCGTCAGACCTTACTATGTTAAGTCTCTAATATAGGACTAGTCATTGTGCAACCTTAGTACTAGCAGTCGGTCAGCCGACCACCCCATCTATATGTACAACCTTGGGTATGTGTCTCCGACAACGCCCCAATATAAGGGAACATTACAAGAACACGTTCATTAACTTAGAAAATTTTAATCCATTTTTTCTATTATATTACAAATGTAATTTATCTTTGTTATTGCAATACAATCGCCTTGTATTTATATGATTTGATATATTTTGAATATTTTAAGCAGGTTTTTAATAAATTTAGAGATTTTTTGAGACATTTTATGCGTTTACTAATATATATAATATTCAATATTCCAAATGGATATTTTTGAACTATATGCTTATTATTTGCATTTTATTGTTTAAATTATAATTTCTATGACATTTTTAAATGTCTGTATAATGAATTTAATTATTATTTATTAATAATAATTATGATGCGTCACAATATCAATGATATGTTGCTAACTGGTAACATTCATTGCTATGCGGATGTGAAATATGAAAGTGTACCCAAAGGTACCTGATACAAGTGGTCCATATAAGTCTGCCATGACTATATCGCCAATGTTTTCTGTTATTATAGATTTGCAGGGACCCACATCTGTTATATTGCTTTTCTTAGATAACTAACATAAATGACAAGCCCTTAATTGGTTTTTAATATCTTTTGTCAAACCTTTCCAAAAGAATCTGTCTCTCACATATTTAATTACCTTATAGGGTCATTGATGACCCATTTCGACATGCACTTGATTTATAATATCTTGTCTCAATGCTTTAGGTAAATATATTACTTCTTGTAAATTCGTTTTCTAATATAATACATCATTTTTCAAACTATACCTTTTAAATTTATTGTTTTGTTTTATTATGCAAGTATTTAATGTCTTTAACTTTTCAATAATAGCCAACGACTCTGAATCTTGTAATTGATATACTGATAAGGATTTTAATTTTTCTATCAACTCAATATTCGGTTCGCTCTCTGTGTAAGCAATTTCTAAACTATTATTTTTATCCTCTTGTATTAAATCGCCATCAGGAGGATAACGTGATAGCATATCTGCAACAATATTACGTCTACCCGATATATGCTGTACTTCATAATTAAATTGTTCTATATACAAAATCCATCGGGTTACTCTACCATTGAATAACCATTAAAATATTATTAATAAACAATAATGCTTTATGATCAGTTAGTATTATTACTTTACTGCCCCTCAAATATGTTTCAAATTTCTTTAGGCAGCTTATTACAGCATAAAACTCTTGTTCAGTAACAGACCAATTTAATTCGGGGCCTTTTAAGGCTTTACTATGATAGCCTAAAATTCTCATTTCATTATTATCTATCTGATATAGTACTCCGGCCATACCCACACCGGAACAATCTGTTTGTAAATAATACGGCTTATTAAAGTCTGGATGATGCAATTGTATTGTATTAATAAATTGTTGTTTTATAAAATCAAATGCCTTCTGTTCTTTACCGCTCCATTGGAACTTTCGTCCCTTTTTAAGTAATTCACAGAGCGGTATTATGCTCTCGCTGTAATTTGGTATAAACCTTTTATAAAAATTGCATAGATCTAAAAAGGCCCTTAATTGTTTAATCTTTTTAGGTGCTGGAAACTCTTGGATCGCTCGAATCTTATCGGGATATGTCTTTATGCCTTCTGTTGAAATTATAAAACCCAGCATTTTAATTTCTTTACAAATAAATTCACATTTCTGCAAGTTACACGTTAAGCCAGCTTTGTTCAATTTACTTAAAACAATATCAATGTGCTCCAAATGTTTATCTAACGTTCCTGTTGTAATAATGGCTAGATCATCTAAATAGTTCACACAAAATTCTTGGACTTCTGGTCCTAATATTAAATTCATGGCTCTGCTAAAGCTTCCTACTGATGTTTTTAATCCTTGCGGCAAAACATTATATACATATGACTTTCCATTGAATGTGAATCCAGTATATTTTCTACCATCTTTATTTATCGGAATTTGAAAATATGCATTATTTAAGTCAATGGTAGTGATATAATTCGCTCCGTGAAATGAATTCAAAACATCTAATTGTATAGGTGGTTTCTCTGTTTCTGCAACCATTTTCTTATTTATGCTTCTGGCATCAAGCAGAACTCTAATTGAGCCGTCTTTTTTAAGAGTGAATGTCAATGGACTACTGTAAGGCGTTGATGTCCTTGTGATGATACCAGCTTGTTCCATTTCATTTAACTTTTCTTCCATTTTCGCTCTATATGCATATGGAATGGGATAGGACCTAGTAACTATAGGTTCATCATCGATCATTTCAATTTTATGCTCATAGCAATTGGCTCTTCCCAATTTGCTCGAAAACATATTTTTATGCTTTTCCAAAACCTTACTAAGTTTTGCCCTTTCAGAGACCTCCAATGTAGATCCTATTTTTATATTTATTAAGGGATCATCGGTACATTGTTTGATGCAGTTATTATGTAATACAGATTTATTATTATAATTGAAAGGTATAAAGTAGTCTTTGTTTTTCACTTTAAATTCTATTCCAACAGTAGTATTTCTCAAATCAATCAATATTTTATTTCTCTTTAGCCAGTCAAAGCCTAATATTAAAGGTCTTATTAAATTACCTACAATTAAAGTTTGTGTTTCAAAGACTACTTCATCTATCTTTATAGGCAATATGATCATCTGTTGTATTTTTGTGCTGCGCTGCCCAACAGCACCTTTTATTTGCATTGCTTTAACTGGCATTATTGATATTTTACGATTATTATCTTTAATTTGTAAATATAAACTTTCTGAAATGTATGTAACATCGCTCCCAGTGTCGAGGAGCGCGTCTATTTCTTTGTCAAATATTGAAACTTTAATTGCAGATCTCATATTCCCTATAAATTCCCTTTGATATTTATCTTCGTCTTCCTCGAAGACGGTTTGCACGAATAACTCCGTTATGGGCAAGTCCGACCTGGCTTTTAAGGTGTTTAATATGCTACTCGTATTTACATTGTCGTTATAACCAAGGCCTTCTCTGTTAAAATTTGCTTTTAAAGTAATAGGTTTTCGCAACCCTCTATTGTTTTTACCCAATGTTTGACCAGGTCGCCAACCCAGTTTTAATAACATATTTAATGCTTTGTTCCCTTTTACATTGTAAGGGGTCGAATCGGGAACTAGTTCGACCTCTACAGCTCTAAATTTGGCTCAGGGGCCGTAACATCAGGTTGGTCATTAGTGAAATGTATTTCATGTACTTCATTAACCTTCTTTTTTCCCTCTTCGGGTTTACGCCATGTTTTGTATGATTGTTGTATTTCTTTATGTTTTTGCTCCGTATTAATTTTAAACTTCCTCCTTTTCTCATTATAGTAAGGTTCACGACCTTCATCTTGTTTGTCGATGTCATCTAAGTTTCTTAAGAAATCTTTCGTATCTATTATTGTCTCAATTTTAGCTATTCTCCATAATTGCTGCACAGTTTTAGGATAATGTCTGATGACATCAGTTACTAATTGTTTTTCAGGTATCGGATATGATAATGTTTGTGCCTTCTCAACCACATAAAGAAAATAACTAACCATGGTGGGGTGTGTACTTCTATTCCATTTATTTTGCACAAGGAATCTCTTTACTTTATTTTGTTCTTCTTCACCCCAAAACACTCTTAGGAAGTCAGCTTTAAAATCATCAAAAGTTGTCCAACGCACATTATTAATGCGAGCCCAATACTTGGCTTCACCTACTAAGCACTCTTGTGCAATCGAAATTTCGAGACCATTAGATGGAACTTTCTTTAAATAATTGGCGAGATCTTCCAAAAATGATACTGGATGAGTATTTCCATTTCCAAATTTCGGCTTTTCTATTGCTACATTATGTACATTATATACAATATTTTGGCTAGGATCATTTACATGAGAGGTGCTCGCCCCGGACACCTCTTCTTGATTTATTTTAATTTGGTAATCTTTCGTTTGGTTAATAAATTTTTCCTCAAGATCCTTTATTTTAACCTCAAAGGGTTTCACTGCATTCTTAATTAATTTCTGAAGCATTTTCATCTCATCTTTAGGCTTAGCCTTAACTGAGGTTGATTTTTTCTTATTTTTATTTCCACTTTTTTTTTGTGTCCTTCACTTACTTTAATTGAGTTTTTCCACTTATTTCACTTTATAATATATAGTATTGCAGTTTTTTTTTTCATCTGTTGTGTCCTTCACTTAGTGTAATTGAGTCTTTTCACATTATTTCACTTTTTATTATTTCGCTCCGTTATGCACACACCTCCTATATTATTACTCAATTTTAATATTTAAGCCCCACCCCCAGACTCTCAACCACCCCCAGCAAACACCACTCTCCAAGACACCTCTCCATTTCATGGACAACAAATTGTAGGCATATAGCCTACTTCATAATTTTATACTACCGGCCTCCTATTTAAAATTTAACCTCCATCCTGGTCACGGCACCAAATTGTAACGAACCCCCCCCCCTCCATCTTTTTTCTTTTCTACTATATATCCACTTATACTTGTATTTCTTTAGAATCTATATCTGTAAGATATATAAATATATCTAATTTACGTGACCAGTATAACTTGATCTTTCTAAAGGTTTAAATATAGGCCGTTTAATAAATTTATGGCGTGATCGTCTTAGTTAGGACCCTTTTTTCCGTTGTGTTTGTATAGTAACTTAGTTCTTTTAGGTGTATCTTGGAAGAATGAATATTCACGAGAGCAATCGAAAGCTGTTGGTAGAGTCTTATAAGCTAAAGAACCCCGTTCACGAAGACAGAGCTCAAAAAGGTTAAGAACAATAAATTGTCCCTATTCCACTTGTATCTGGTTCACAACAGTCAATTCCTTATTAATTAATCCCTTCCCGCTTGGAAAGGGCTCACAATATTTATATCAAATACCAGTTACAAGGGCTTCGCTCTCCCACATTTTAAAAAAAATGTGGAGGAGGTACACGGCCCCACACACGCCGCGCACGGTGAGCGCCAACCATTTAAATGCACTCCCCCCGAAGGGTACGCAAAGTTTGGAACTGGACCGTAGTCCACAGCAAAATAACTGGCGAACCAGTAAAAGAGGACTTGGCCCCTTGATAGTGCGTAAGCACAAACATCGACCGAAGTCGCGCATGTCAATGCGTGTAAACGCCATACAGAATACGATCAAATCCAGCCACAGTGAAATGTACGTCACACGGGTTAGGCAACAATCGGCACACTGACCATAAAAAGCCCTCCGTGAGCGCCACCACCTGCCAGACCGCCGTTTCTGCAGACGTGATGTAAGTGTAAGGCATCACCACCAATTGCATGGTCAGCACGGCCAATTGGCCGCAGAGCGTGTCATGAGTCTACCCGCTCACCTCAAGGGAATGGGGTCCCACGTTGCGCGGCTTTCGGCCGCAGCCTTGAGAGCCTCCTCAGATTCTCCCTCCAGCTACCACCCGCATGAGGTCAACACATATGCTCCACCAACCAATACAATGGCAGATATAGCCAATAGGCAGTTATAAGATAATATTAATAATAATTCGCCATCAGAAAGGGTTTGTGTCACTGACGTTGAGTATATGTATTTTTCGATCATGTTTGTCTCACCCACCAACAAGTTGCCTTCAATCTCTCAAAGGTGGGAACTTTATAGAGATATATTATTAAGTTGTTATCTAAAACATCATGGAGGGCAGACAGTCTGCAGCCCCGCAATGAAGGGACCCGACTTGGGCAAAGCTACTTAGGTTGTGAGTCAAACCAAGATGCAGAGAGCGCCATTGAGAATAGCGACCCGCCAAACAACCATCGTAGAGACGCAATGCTACAGAATGCAACAAGCATCAATACGACTATCGTCGGGCTTACACCATTCCAAGGTCCCCCATACAGTCCCAGCAGACATCACCACCCGCATACCTCCATCGACCAGAACCACAAGATGCATCGAATCAGGTGCAGCACACCCGCAGATCCATCACAAGACACAATACTGCAAGTAGCAGTAAGCATCAATGCAACTATCATACGGATGGCGCCCCCTCACAACACACCCACATGATCTCCCTATCGACTTTGGTAACAAAATTTGATAATGTTGTTAACTAAAAATACCACCAACGTATCATAGTAGTACGGTACTAAGACGTCAGTAGCCAAAACTCCACGTATCATAGCGCTATTGCACTAAGACATGAAGTTGAGTATGCTTGCTGCACTTAAAAGTACTACCAAACACACTCACTCTAATCCGAAAGATAGCCGACGTATCATAACGCTATGCGCTAAGACGCCGCCCACAACCGGTAGGGGTGTGCAATGTCCACGGGCAAGTCGTATTGCTACAACAAACCCGCTTACCACCGGCACTAAGATGATATGTCTAGGACACATCGGTTAGTGAGTCCAAGTTTACCTCGATCTCAGAGGCTGCGAAGCAACCTAGATGCCACTATAATAATCCTTTTTAAGTCCCATTTCTTTCAATATAATGCTTTTACATATTTGAGACCTTCCACATATTTGCTTTATTTCATAGACCATACTACTGTATGTCTTATTCATATGGGACTTCAAGTCATAACTCTGCTATCATAATGCTTATGCATCATAGAGACCTTCTATATTAATGCTTTGGTTCGTCAGACCTTACTATGTTAAGTCTCTAATATAGGACTAGTCATTGTGCAACCTTAGTACTAGCAGTCGGTCAGCCGACCACCCCATCTATATGTACAACCTTGGGTATGTGTCTCCGACAACGCCCCAATATAAGGGAACATTACAAGAACACGTTCATTAACTTAGAAAATTTTAATCCATTTTTTCTATTATATTACAAATGTTATTTATCTTTGTTATTGCAATACAATCGCCTTGTATTTATATGATTTGATATATTTTGAACATTTTAAGCAGGTTTTTAATAAATTTAGAGATTTTTTGAGACATTTTATGCGTTTACTAATATATATAATATTCAATATTCCAAATGGATATTTTTGAACTATATGCTTATTATTTGCATTTTATTGTTTAAATTATAATTTCTATGACATTTTTAAATGTCTGTATAATGAAGTTAATTATTATTTATTAATAATAATTATGAGCCGTCACAATATCAATGATATGTTGCTAACTGGTAATATTCATTGCTATGCGGATGACAGCACTGGTGATGCTCTATACACCGGCCGTGCCAATATTTCTCGGGAAAACGTCGCTGAGT